CACATGAAGGATCGCCAGCACTCCTCCATCCGCCGCTGCGCTTCATCCAGTTGCGCATGTTGCAACCATTCTTCCACGGCCAGTCGTGAACTCTCTTCCGCTTTTCTTTGCTCTTGCTCTTGTCGGCGTCGCTCCTGTAAAGCGCCCCTACTTTAGACTCCAACCTACCGTTCGCACTGCCATGTCTACAGGGCCACTAGTCGCGAGCGAGAAACATGGACTGGCCTCTTCTCTGCGCTCCTCCTCCTCCATACGCTGGCTCTCCGCCTCCTTCTCTGCCTGGGCAAGGTCCCGCTGCCGCTGCTCCTCCATGTCCAAACGTGTACTCTCAACGACTCTGTCTCAGCAACTGTCGGCACTACACCTTCAACAGCCATTGCTGCAAGATTGCAACCCTCAACAACACCGTTCCAGATTGCAACATTGAAAACACATGAAGGATCGCCAGCACTCCTCCATCCGCCGCTGCGCTTCATCCGCTTGCGCATGTTGCAACCCTTCTTCCATGGCCAGTCGTGAACTCTCTTCCGCTTTTCTTTGCTCTTGCTCTTGTCGGCGTCGCTCCTGTAAAGCGCCCCTACTTTAGACTCCAACCTACCATTCGCACTGCCATGTCTACAGGGCTACTAGTCGCGACCGGGAGAAACATGGACTGGCCTCTTCTCTGCGCTCCTCCTCCTCCATACGCTGGCTCTCCGCCTCCTTCTCTGCCTGGGCAACGTCCCGCTGCCGCTGCTCCTCCATGGCCAAACGTGTACTCTCAACGACTCTGTCTCAGCAACTGTCGACACTACACCTTCAACAGCCATTGCTGCAACATTGCAACCCACAACAACACCTCTCCACATTGCAACGATGAAACCACATGAAGGATCGCCAGCACTCCTCCATCCGCCGCTGCGCTTCATCCGCTTGCGCATGTTGCAACCATTCTTCCATGGCCAGTCGTGAACTCTCTTCCGCTTTTCTTTGCTCTTGCTCTCGTCGGCGTCGCTCCTGTAAAGCGCCCCTACTTTAGACTCCAACCTACCGTTCGCACTGCCATGTCTACAGGGCTACTAGTCGCGACCGGGAGAAACATGGACTGGCCTTTTCTCTGCGCTCCTCCTCCATATGCTGGCTCTCCGCGTCTTTCTCTGCCTGGGCAAGGTCCCGCCGCCGCTGCTCCTCCACAGGCAGACGTGCACTCTCATCGCTTCGCATTTTTCTGGCCCGTCCATCGCAGCAGGTCGCACTGGCAAACGGGAATTTGACTGATCTGCCAGGAAAGGGTGATGCAGACTTCCGTGTCATGACCAAGGATGTTGACAATTGGCGCGAATGTCAGAACATTCAGTGGCGACACCCATGCTGGGATGAGCCTTGCAAGCTCACCGAACACTACGCGATGCGATGGTCGCACATCTCCCCAAGACGACCCAACACCCAGTACCCTGACCTGACCTGTTGCTAGCACCTGTCGCCGTAGCCTTCCCTGTCGCACCTTTGTGGATGTACGCCTTGCTAGCTAGTAGTGCACGGAAGAATCAAGAAACACACATCACATCGACCTGACTAGACAAGCTAAAAATTGCGACAGACTGACTCCATCACATGAGTAGCAACGGCAGACTCCAATGTTTCTGTCCCCAGGTGCAAAGAAGCAGTGCTGCTCCTCCTCTCGGTGCCGTGCTTCTGCCTGCCCATGTCCATATTGGCAAACTCTCGTCATTGCTGTACATTGCTGTAGTGCACCAGCTTTGGCTCGATGACTCTCGCTTCTCAGGTCAGGATCACGAGAAAGCCCCAAAAACACGTCTCCGACCCGCCCCGAAAACGGCTGCACGTGCCTCTCTGCGCTGCTCCTCCTCTTTGCGATGTCGTGCCTCCTCCTCTGCCATCTCTGCCTGCCAGCTGCGCTGCCGACGGCCGAAAAGACGTCGAGCATTTCGCCAAGATGGCTTGGCCCATTGTACCAACGAAACATCGGCAAAAAACAGAGCACACCCCTGAAATTCCTTTGCAACCCGAAAAATGCCGTCGACGACAACTGCCACACAGAATACTCTTGACTTCAAGGATCTATGGCTACATGGGGCTCCGTCCGATCAAAGTCTGGGAACATGGCCTGGCGCGCTCGCAACTGGTGGTGCCAGACCTCAACCTGCAGCTCTGAAATTGACAGACACTTTTGCGGGATTCACGGGACAGTGTGCTTGGTTGAGTCGGGGGCTGATGTGAAGGCTACTAAAGCTTCACGTCAACTATGAAAGTACAGCTCCTGGCTGGTCCCGTAATCATTGAAGGTTGGAGCACGGTATCCGCATTACCGTACATCCGTGCCTGAGGCTTTCGTGCTGCAAAACACACGGAGCCGACCGGGGTTAACTGCCGAAGCAACCACATCTTGGATGGTACTAATCGGTCAAAGACCAGATCCACAGAAGAATCGAATCGCAATGGAGTCAAGGACATGCGACAAGAACAATTTCAGGCACCGATCCAGCTGATGGCGACATCGGCGAAAGACGCATCGGGCCCGCCCCATGCCGGTTGCAGATCCATGCATCGAACGGAACTGCCTCCTTCTGAATTGCCGCTTCCTAGGTCGGTCCCTTGAACTGGAAAGCACGAAATCCTCGAAACAAAATGTGGAAGGAGCTGACACTCTAGCTTCCAAGTCTTCCGAGTGGCTGCATGATGCTCCGCGGTGTCCTGAACTGAAGCTCGGGATTGCACTCCCGCAAGACCCTCCTGCACTCTGCTACCTTGACATCCGACGTAACCGGCAAGCACCTACACATCGAAACTTGCCGTCACACGGCAAAGATCGGCAAAGCCCCTGCTCCCTCGTGGCCCTGGCGACCTCGTCGCCGAAAGGCGGAGCCGCCTGTTGCCGTTCTACCTGACAGGCAAAGCGGAAGCTCATGGGTCGGTGTATGCGGACATCAGCACATCTCAGCTAAAAGGACCTAGTTGTATGGTCTTTCGAATTCTAGGGCAGGCACCATCTGAAGTGTTGCCTATCAAGGACTGACAATATCTTTCTATCTGTTATCCACACATTCCTTACAAGCAGTTCCTCCTGCAACAAGCAGTTCGGGGAAGTCAGAAGCGTCACAGTTGACTTGCAACACTCTCTGGACGATGCATGCTCAGCGCTGTAGATGTGCCTGAAGATCCCTGGGCTCGTGGAGTACTCGGCGCAAGGGCCTGCGGGGCGCCTGCAACTCGCAAGCTACACGGTCCTTCACTTCTCGCGATCCCACATAGGTCACTCGGACCACTAGGACTCAAACTAGGATGCGCGCCGGCGCGTGGCTCTGAAATCGGTCTCTGAGAACCCCTGCTGGCATGAAATTCGGAGGCAAAAAAGCTTCCCCACAACCATGCCAAAAAACTGCAGAGACCTTGAACACGTGCCGGAATGCATGACTGCGAAGGAAATCCCCAAGCGCCGTCTCGCCGTGCCTCGGGCGGCCGAGGCGGGAACTCCTCAGGGTCACAAGCTGTGCACCCGGGAAAGTGACCCAGCAAGGGAGGGCGTTCTGCTGCGACTGTGGCCATGCCACGCGCATGCACTTCAGGAGCTTGCCGGCTGCACTTCTCAAGCATCCTCCCCTTTTCACCTCCTTCCAAGCAGCCCTGCCCAATCGGTCTTCCTGGAAGGTGACGAATTCAACGTGTTCCGGCTTCCCTCCACATACCTGCCCGAGGCGAATGAGAGACATGCTGCTGCCCGGCGAAATGTTGGAGTGTGCCAAAACCACTCAGCTGCTCCAAAACAAAAAAAGCATCTGCAGACGAACGCAGCCTCCTCGTCACTGGGTGGGCCTTCTGCCTCTTGCGGATTTGCCCCGTAAGGGAGCTCCTCCAAACCCCAAGCAGTTCGAGCGGGCAATTGCTGCCTCAGTCAAAACTTTACTCAAAAGCACAACAAGTTCACTACTAAGCAAGAAAGCACAGCCTTCGACCCTGCGCCATGCAAGTTTGGGGCGCAGACAAGGCGACAGGTGACAGAGGTGCGAGAGGCCGCGGAGAGGTGGCACGGTCCACGGTCCTTGACCCAAGCACATTTTTGTGCATAAACGCATTTGCTTCGACACGATGGGAAGGGAGTGCATTGCATCTCGCAAGTAGAAACATCTTCTTGTCTGTATGCGTGATCGCACATCCTCCGCTCAACAAACCCAGCTTCAAACGTGAACTCGTGAACTTGTCTATGCGAGGTTATATTGAACCCTTTGTGCCCGGCATAGATGGAGGACTTGCCATACATGTGGTGGATTTGTGGTCGGGTGGGGTCTGGGTGTGGGTGTGGGTGTGGACGTGGGTGTGGGTGTCGGTTTGTTTGCTTGTTCGTTCGTTCTGGTGTTTGTTTTTTGGTTTGATAGCTTTGTTTGCTTCGTTTGCCTGTGTTTGCCGGGTTGCTTATTTGATTCTTTGATTGGTTGTTTGTTTGTTGGGTTGTTTGGTTGTTTGGTTGTTTCAAAAACTGGTTTGTTTGTTTGTGTGTTTTTTGTTTGCTTGCTTGCTTAATTGCTTGCTTAATTGCTTGCTTAATTGCTTGCTTGCTTGGTTGGTTGGTTGGCTGCTTGGTTGGTTGCTTGCTTGTTTGGTTGCTTGGTTGCTTGGTTGCTTGGTTGCTTGGTTGCTTGGTTGCTTGGTTGCTTGGTTTCTTGGTTGCTTGGTTGCTTGGTTGCTTGGTTGCTTGGTTGCTTGGTTGCGTGGTTGCGTAGTTGCGTGGCTGCTGGGCTTGTTTGTTTAATTGTTTGTTTGGATGCTTGTTTGTGTGTTTGTTTGTGCGTGTTTGCTTGTTTGTTTGTGTGGTTGTCTGTGTGTGTGTGTGTATTGTCTGTGTCTGTTTGTCTGTGCGGGTTTGTTCGTTGGTTCGCTTGTTTGGTTATTGGTGTGTGTTGGTTGTTTGGTTGCTTGGTTGTTTGGTTGCTTGGTTGTTTGGTTGCTTGGTTGTTTGGTTGGTTGATTGTTTGGTTGGTTGCTTGCTTGTTTGCTTTTTTGATTGGTAGCTTGTTTGCGTTTGTGTTATTTGTTGCTTGGTTTGATTGCTTTGGTTGTTTTGTTTGTTGTGTTTGTTTTGTGTGTTTGGCTAGTTGCGGCTAGTTTTGTTTGTTGTGTTCGTGTTGCTAGATTTGTTTGTTTAGTTTGGTTTGTGTGTTTTGGTTGTTTTTGTTGTGTTTTTGCCTTCCACCTGGGTTGATTTGGTTGGCTTGGTTGTGTTGTTTGTGTTGTTTGTTTCGCTTGCTTTGTTTTTGTTTGTTTTTGGTTGCTTGTGTATGTTTTTTTGTGTGTTTTTGTTTGTTTTTGATTGATATAACTGTTGTGTTGTTTGCTTCGGTTGTTGTGGTTTTGTTTGTGTGGTTTGTCTTGTTTCTTTTGTTTGATGTAACAGTCTTGTTTGCTTTTGTTGTTTTGGGTGGTATGGTTGTTTTGTTTTTTTGTTTGCTCTGTCTTGTTCTATTCTGTTCTGATCTGCTCTGGTCTGTCTTGTGTGTTTTACTGTTTCGTTTTGTTTTGGTTTTCTTTGTTTTGTGTGTTTGTTTGTATTTATTTGTTTGATTGTTTGCTTAGTTGGTTTGGTTGTATGTGTGGTTGTATGTTTGTATGTTTGTTTGGCTTGCTGTGTTGAAATACACGTCCCTACTTTCTCCCCCAGACTTCTCATATGCCACTACGTGGCTCAAGACGACTTTGCCCTGAGAGCAGAAAGGCGCCTGGGAACTTCAGGGCTGACTTTGCTTGGTGCAGTTGAGTGAGCTTGTGCACGGATCTACTTTAGAGTAGTTTGGTGCGCATTCTGTACTAG